ACAGGCTGGTTCAGTTACTTTAAAACCCAAGTGATAAGATGAATTATTCTTATCTACTCTGTTATCACAATACAATCAGTGATAAATCCACTTACATTACCCCGTGGGTTACCACAGTTATATTCAGAACCTTAAATAATTCTCTCTTGCGTTAGAAGTCCACACAGACTGGTTCAGTTACTTTATAACCCAATTGACAAGACGAATATTCTTCTCTACTCTGTTATTACAAAACAATCTGTGATTATTACACTTCAAAAGTCGCTACTAAACACAGTCTATATCTATTTGACTATATCTCTCACTAACTTTGTCTCATTTTCATTTTCATTAATATACTTACATGTACTAATTTGGTCGCCTATATATATATTGCTCGACTGCGGCCTAGAACTTTTACAAATTACCAGTCGTTGTGATGTAACAATATTTACTTCAAGCAATGAGAAAAATTCAGAAGGTTTGAGTAACATGGCATTAATTCACAACAACTGAACTTCACAACAAATGATTCGTAAACAGTTACGTAAGCAAACGTGCCATAAATATCGCTTCTAACAATAGCTTACTTCGCACAATATTAAGTAAACAATACTCTCGTATTAAACTTAAAATGTCGCGTGTATGTAATAAACATGGGACAGTGATGTTTTTCACAAGTTCTCGTGAATCACGCCGAAGCACTTTTTGTGGGCTACGCTGAAACGACTCGCGTACTTCTTTCATATATTCTTCATTGACAGAGGGTCTTCTAGCTCCTGGTCGTTGTAAGACACTGCCTGTCTCCAAGAGCTTCATCAACTACTCTCAGATAGTTAGTTTCGATGGTGGTTTTTTCCTGTACTGGCGTCTGTAATTCGCTGTATCACAGTTACCGACTTGGTCTCTGCAAGCCAGACGACGCACTGAGCCTTTTCTTTTACGGTTGCCATTTTACGAAATAACACTACTCACTGGAGTGAAAATAAAACAAAAACATGTCAACAAGAACTGTTTGAGTTAGGCTACAAGATGTACAAATCTGCATCTTTGTATTTCATTAGATATTTAATTTATAAACTTTAAAATAGGAAAGATAATTTTGGGCCACCCTGTATATTAGTCATAACTTATTATTAACAATAATTATTTATAAACGCAGAATATCTCGCAGTTTTGTAAGAGAAATAATTAGAAAAAAAAAGACGAAACCAAAGCTAAAATCCATAAATTAATGGAAACGCCTTTCAGTGTCAGAAGTGTCAAAAAAGGTGGACCTGTCGAAAACACTCGGGTTATAGGGGTTTTATCATTTTGTATCAAGAAATATTCTCAGATATTGACAGGGTGGAAGTTCAAATTTATGACTCTTTGAATATCCAGGAAGAAAAGGGACCAGGTACTTAGTAATCCAGAAGCAGATGATTCAAAAGAAATCAATGTTTTGAGTGCAAATGGTAAGTTAAGTCATAATATTTATAGGTTCAGTACAATATAATTTTATAAAGTATTAAGAAAGTAAACATTAATAATTTTTTAATGATAATAGAACAATATTACGTTGGATCATGAATAGGTTGAAAATGATAATTTTGCTAGTGCTATACCAAAAAGTATTTAATATTTATCTTTATTTCGATAGAAATGATGAAATTAAATTCTTCAGAATTGTTATGTATACGAATTTCAAACTTCACATTTCTTCTTTGCTTGTAAAATACAAAGAATTTAACAATAAATTATAGCAACTGACAAAATATTAAAATATGCGAAAATAAATAAGCTATTGGAAAAGTTTGTTCCATTAATACTACTAAAATAATAACATCTTTAGTAATTTCATTTTATTGTAGAGATCGGAAAATCAGAGCGAAAAAGTAATTAATTTTGATACTTTAAAAGGAACAATTTCATATGTGCTTTTAATTTATTAGATTATTTAACTCCAACAAATGTTTCACTCCCATTCCTTGGTAAATATCGTTTCTTGAAAATGGTTAGAGGTGAAATTTACAAGATTGGTATGTTGCTGTATAAAGAACTTTAGAAATTACTTTTGACATTCCAGCTACGTTCTTGGTATATGTTGATACATTTTCCTTTTTTACAAAACATACTTTATCCATAAACATTCATTTAGCGGAAATGTTTCTTTTAGTTAAGAATGATCGATGTAATTTTAAAATTATTTCTGAAAAACAATAAAACAAACAGAAAACAGTTGTATATCAAATTTATATAATATTAAGTACGTAATAAAAATAGCATTACTAAAATTGTATTTGGATTTTTCAAGGTTGAAAAGTGTAGTTTCATTAGCATCTGAAATAAGAAGCTTTACAAAGAATTCACTGATATAATTAATTATATATTTACTGGCTAAAGTAGGGTAATATATTTAAAAACATCATAATATTAAAGCGATAGTTATTATTTATCATGCTTTACCTTGTAAAAACCAAGATATTTTATTATATTTTATTTATTTAAATGTTTTTAAATGTATATTTAATAACCTGCCAGGCGATGTTTTCCAAGCGAGCTCTTCCTACAACCCACATATCAGAGTGAGTGTTTTTACTTTTTTGCTTGTATGTATAGCGAATGTGAATCTATCAAGAAACATTTTAACAAAATAGTACACATGTTTTTAATGCGATTAAAAAGATAAAGATTTAACTTTGTGTCTTCAATATATTTTTGCAGTATCAGGATCAGACTAGTAATATATAGGTTAGGCATGCGCTAAGTTATTCGGTGTAAGATCGATGTGAAGAAACGTATTGATGTAATGATAGTGACTTTCCCATCATCGACGAACCCTACCAAATTTACATTTTAATTAATATCATTCTTTATGCCTCCCCCAGTGGCACAGCGGCATGTCTGGGGACTTACAACGCTAGAAACCGGGTTTCGATACCCGTGGTGGACAGAGCATAGATAGCCCATTGTGTAGCTTTGTGCTTACCTTCAAGCAAAACAAGCAAATTATAAAAAATATTGCTAATAATGCCAAAATTAGAGCCTCGACTGCATTTTGATGGTCAAAGAAAATTAAAGTGAGTGCTGCAAAAACTGCCGAACGTGGCATTATAATTTTATATTCGTTACCTCTTTCTTTTGCTAATGTGTTTCTTCAGTCTGGCATGAACCTTACTAAAGCCCATGTACTGGATTGTTATTGACTCACGGGTTACTTTGGCTTTCATGTGTTATTAATTTTAAAAACTCCCTGCCCCATCCCCTGAAAAAATCCCGAGGACGAACTTTACTTTTTACAAAACTATAAGGCATAAACAATATTATAACAGTAGGAGTTATTTTATTTTTTCCCTAAAATGCTCATTGTTTTATTTTTTGTTAAGTATTTTAGTGTACTTGAACAATTGTAACAAAAATTAATGATTTATACTACTAACGTTCACTCTCCACAAGTAACTGATAACTGATCACTGTCTCTCTCTAGTTTCACTCCTGATATATACCCAGTTTCCCAGTGCATCAGCGGTAATTTTACGGACGTAATTCTAAAATATCTGGTTCGATTCCTGAGGGACAAAGCACAGTTAGCTCACATTGTAGTTAGCACTAAAACAAAACATAATCGAAACAAACTCACTCTAGAGCGCTGTCTTTATATACTTCGCCTTAAATTAATCTTTCATCGGCACTAATTATTTCTTCCTGATCTTTGTTAGCTCCACTCCTGCTAGTGCTAACAGTCGCATCTGCCAAACTTCACTCTTCATTTTCAATCTGAGGTGTTGTGTTCTCTCTAATGTTCAAATCTTCCTCTTGGAAGAGGTGGAACTTATAATGCACGGTATTAATTAATCTTTCATCGGCACTAATTATTTCTTCCTGATCTTTGTTAGCTCCACTCCTGCTAGTGCTAACAGTCGCATCTGCCAAACTTCACTCTTCATTTTCAATCTGAGGTGTTGTGTTCTCTCTAATGTTCAAATCTTCCTCTTGGAAGAGGTGGAACTTATAATGCACGGTATTAAGTTTAGGTGTTCGATCCAGTTAGAGGCGTTTTACCTATTTTGATCTTGTTATTGTATTACTTAACATAAACAGGTATAGTAAGTGGATATTTGTTAACACTTACATAACAACTTTAGATAACTGGCAACCTCATAAAGTCCTTTCTACTATATTGAATGAGCAGTTTTGAAAACTGACTTTCATAGAATTTCCTTACCACATAATTTATGTCCAACTCTATCCGTATTCAGCCAACTTACATGAAACAAATATTATATCCACGTTGGAGATATGCTCAGCTCATACTCTTGTCCAGACCTTCAGTCTGATTATCTTTCTCAAGTTTTGACTTCCATACTTTCCATCCAACTTGTAGTTTGCTACATATCAGGATGAAAGCAGAACTATTGATAGGATGATTGCTGCAAAGCGTCATCATTATACCACTTCGTCTTCTTGGATGACCTCAGGCAGCACTGATTTGTTACCTTTCATCTTTATACTAGCATGAAGATTGTTTGCAAGAGGCCCAGCATTCACTTGCACCTAGTGTGTCCTTGTGATTGTGGATCTATGAATTTATTATTTACCATAACCGCTTGCACACCTTCTTGTTTTAACTCTATTTTCAAGACCCCTATGGTCCATGAGATAAAAAAGAGCAATTTTGTTTCCTATTTCTTAACTTGAATATTTCTTGTGGAATACTTTTCTTCTGTTGCTCCCTAGTGGCACAGCGGTATGTCTGCAGAGTTACAACGCTAGAAACCGGGTTTCTATACCCATGGTGGGTAAAGCACAGATACAGTTTCTTCTGTTTGATTATTTATGTAAGTTTGCTCACATTTCTGAGTTTTAAAATGTCTTTATGAAGCACGTTTATGGTATTAGATAACTTTTGATGATGAGGTAAAGCTATACAATCGTCTTGTCGGTTGCATGATCCATGACCAAAGCATGGACCTTCCTTAGCCCCACGGTGTCTATAGCATCACTAAAGACTTTAATTATAAACTCACTAGGAAAACTTAAGAACACCTGGTTCACGAGCTGCACACCAGTTAGATTAACAAGTTCCCTTCACATCAGTTCAACCTCCGACATCGGTATTAATGAATCTGCTTTAACTATCTCTCCTGCGCAAGATCGTTTGCCATGTATACTCCTCGCCTAAGAGGGAATTTGGGAAACATAACAGTGAAGAAGGTATAACAGCAGGTCTTATATTATAAAAAAAGAACATTCTTATAAAATTTTTATCAAAGAAGCTATGCAGTGTGAAACTTTAATGTACAGTCCTTGTGACGAGTCATTCAATTTTCGTCTTTCCTGAAGTGACATTATATCGAAATAGTTCGTACTGCATTTGACATCCATAGTAGGCTGATGGTTGACTGTCTTATGAGTTGTCCAGGAGTCATGTGCTTGTGGTACCAAATCATAGAGTGTTTAGTAAAAAAAAGTGCACTGGCCATCTAAAATTTCCTATTAAATTCAAATAGAAGCAATTTGTAATTTACATATATTAGTAACTAACTGATATACAGCTTTTTCGTAGCACTCATTACAAATAGAAGCAAGATTATAATACATTGTAATATTACTACGTTACAATAATTTTATACAACATGAGAAAAATATTTTTGCAGATGAGAATGGGAAAATAATGTAAGATAAGATTGCAGAAGTTGTTTATAAAGATAAAACTGGAAGTTTGTGTTTGAATACACTAGGATAATGTTATTTTAGATTCAAAATACATTAGTAGCAACTTACTGAACATTAAAAACCTTGTCAAAACATATATAATGACAAAATATAATACCAGATTATTATATATAGCGTCTGCAACGTTATACCAGTTGATGTTAAACATTCAGTACTTGGTTGGTCTTTCTCGTACTCTAATAACCTCTGCAAGGCGACGTGGCATGATGTCGATGAGGTTATGGATGTAATCCACCATGATTTCATCCCAACTTGTCAATAGAAGGCGCTACAACTCAGCTATGGTGGCTGGTTCAGAGTCGTGCTTAGCAATTTTCCAGCTCAGTTCTTAACGAGATTACAATGTGGAGACTTTGCTGGCCATGGCAATCTTGTAACGTCCTCTTGGTAGAGATAGTTCTGTACAAAACGTGCAGTGTGGACAGTGGCATTGTCATCCTGGAACAAAAAGTTATTGCCAAACTGTGTCCTAGCATGTGGCAGAAATATTGCCTCCACACAATGCCTGTAGAAGGGCCATTGATGTTTCCCTGGAGGATATGAAGAGCAGTGTTTCAACCATGATGAATAGCTACTCAAACACGTACTGCACCAGCTCTTGTGTGTGTTCCCTTTGGGAAAGACAGTCTTCTCTCAAACGACAGACAAAAATCTTACCACCAGCTTTTAGAAGTCGGAAACATGACTCATCAGAAAAGATGATACGTCGCCAGTGTCCTAACTGTTTGTTGGCATGATGTCTTGCTCAAATAACACGGTGATGGCGGAGAATTCTGGTTAATATCGGTTTGCAGATAGCCCTTCTTTCAAAATAACTTTTTTGGGTTAGTCTCCTATTCACTGTTCTTCTGGATATTCTGGAATGAATGTATTAATGCCATTCCTGTCCTAAAGTGTTGCAAGACTTCTTTCGACCTCGACGTGTTAACGGTCATCTTGTGTAGTAATTTTTGCGTCTACCAGCGGACTTTTCTGAAACAACGTTTCCTGTGGTCCGCTGATGTTTAGGATTCTAGATACAGTACTGTTCTGGCAATGTCCGTTTGCTTCATATTGTTTCTGAAGAGTCGAACAAGTTGACGCCCTATAACTTCTGGAACGTAACGTGACCAAGTACAGAGAAACTGTCTAGACAAAACATTGATCTGTTTTGAAAAAGATTATACCAAAAGCACACCATTTTATACAAAATAAGTGTATGTGTCTTTTGACGAACAAATGCCCAAAACAACTTATACAGACCAGAATAACAACTCGTACATGTTTATCTGATCATATGCTACCGTATCTGTTACTACTCGGGCATTTACACAATAACTACTCCATGCATGTAGACGATAAAATCAATATAGAACAGTATGTAAACAATTTTGTAAAGTCTGTACATTGATAAAATTCAGGTATGAATAAAAACAAGGTGATCTAAATAAGACTGAGAGAACTAACCACAATATAATTCTTACAATAGGATCAATACTCCCAGTGTGCATTTGTCACCCACGCCACTTGATCATTCCATGAGAAAAAATAGGGAGAACACAGTCTTCTCAGATATTTCTAAACTGCTACATGACCGAAGTTACTAGAGAATCCAACTAGCATAATATACCCGCACTCGACTGCAGGGTTCAAAGAGCCCCTCGTGATTCACAAAGGCTCCATTGTGCCAATTAATTTCCTTCATTATCCCCAGTTAGTCCTATAACTATGTCAGGGGGGGGGGGATTCAGACCTCAAACAAACCTCGTGATGTCTGACGATTGTGTCACCTTTGGTACGGCTATCTCGTGAGTGGGATATGTACAGTTTCAAACATGACGGCCGAGGGATCGAGAAGTAGCCAGGAACACAAAATCCGATGCCAGATTCAAGTTCAGCGATCCTGAAAACCTACTCCTAGATCCCTCATCATGCTTTGGTGAGTTTTGGGGCGTGTTTGATCCACTTGGTGGGAGTGCTAAACCATAAAGATAAGGACATCTCCATATAAATCACCCCGAGTCCGCCTACCACCTATGGCCCTCTATCTCCAAAACTGTGAGAGGAGTTTGGGGATAAAACAAACACGTTCACAAACGCACAACATGAGTTAATAAATAACGTACACTGAACGCGTGTGAAAAGACTATTGAAAATTCTGCTTTCTAGCCTAAAATAGAAAGAATGTATGGTGGTTTTTTTTCAAATATCGAACATGGATATTACAAATCTGCTTAGAATCTCTCCATTCATAATTAAAACTGTAAATTGGTCTCAATTTGGAAACCACTTTAGGTATAATCGTTAATAGTTATGAACTTGGTTCCAGTTGGGCTTAAATTCGTACATAGAACGAGAAGATACAGCCAAAAATATAATGTTAAATTGCTTCCTTTTTTGTGGTGGAACAAATGTCAAAGTCAATTTTTAACGGTGTTCCAAGTGTCATTGAAATTGTCGAAATAATTTTTCCGTCATTTTTATCACATCTACAAGATAAAACTTTTGAAAAGATTAATTGATACAGTAGTTCTCTTTCCAGTTACTTAAAATCTAATCAAAAACACCTTAGGTGTGAAAAAAGGTGCGGCCAAAAAAGGATTCAGCGCGCGACTTAAAGGAATGAAATCAAAATTGGAAGCCAAACTGGTAGCTACACTTATAACATTGATAAGAATTTTACAGTAAATATTCATTCATTAGTTACCCAGACCGCGTTTTTGTTCAAGATGGAGTATAATGGTAGGTTAAATGAAATAGAAACTGCTAATCTAGTTTGCTTGGTCTAACCAATACTTATGCATCTGCATGTCCTTTCACCTTAAAGTTTTGCTGCTCTAAATCAGCCGTTTTTAGTCCGAATGACAAAATACTGTCCACTTTTACTCTTAAGTGAAGCTGTAGTAAAAATGTTACTAAAAGTACGTGACTTTTTGCGTAGACGTGCTCAAATTTGAACGGTTTTTATTGACTAACTTTGTACATGTGACTTATATTTACACCATATGATACTCCTAATTGTAGGTTGTAAATATCTAACCGTGAACAAAATTTGAAAAAAATTCATAAAAGTTAAGTATGTTTTCTATAAAATAAAGTTTCTGTACTTTTGGTGCGAAGAAAAAATAGGAAGAAACTCAATCAAAATTTAGTATGTTATATCTCAGGTATTTCTTAATAGATTACCTTGAAATCTGGTATGTGAAGTAAGAGTCTAGTAGAGCACATCCACATATGATAGTTTGGATTACCACAGTCCGAATCATAAAAAGTAGAAAATCGCTGAAGTATCACTCCTGTTAACAACTCACAGTGTGTCCTACATGTTTTTTTTTTTGTGGGCGCAAGATAATTTGCTATAATTTTTTTTTTCCACGAACAATTATTTGATAGCCACCATTTTTGCACTATCTTTCTTCGTTTTAAAAAATATTACGTTTTAAAATGCATACAACAATTTGCAGACAGCCCTTATTCAATTAATAATGTTATATTGATTTTTTATTACTTGTTTTATCATAGAGAGAAGAGGATGCCACAGGATTTGAACCTGTTTATATGATGGGACTATAAATGCATAATTGCAAACTGAAGAGCATTCTGCCTATTAGCCCTTATAAATTTGTTGTTTGTTCATTCGAATTAATGTACAGTTTGTGTGCCTGTAGCTGCTACAAAATACTCTCGTTTTCATGTGTTTCGAGTTAAGTGCCCTTTTTAAATTTGTATTCAGAATATGATTGGAAGGTTCAACAAATTTTGCTTTGCTAATGTACTAAAGGTCTTGTATTACGAACGTTACGTAATGTTAAAACATTTTTAACTTCTTGTGTTGTTTATATGATGAACAAAACAATGGTTATTTGAATAATTTATGTAATAGTAGTTGGTTAGGAAAACTGTTCTACAACTAAGATTTGAGAATTTAGGAACAACCAAGCAAACAAAAAAAAAGTAGACCCATCATGGCGTTTGCCTCTAATTAGACTTAAAATTACAAATATAAATGTTCATTATTAGAAACATAAGTAATAGAATCTATTATTTGTTGAGATGTTTTATTTCAAATGATGTTATTGCCCCCGATATTTGAGCAAGTGATTTTCTTTACTTTGATGTTTAGTTTAAAGGAACATCTGAACGCTTTAAAATACAAACACACAAATAATGCAGTAATGTAGAGAAACTTCTAATTTTTTTTTATTTGGATCAATTTGGGAAAATTGAAATATTTCTTAGCTACATTTACATGATCTGTAGTTGTAAATGTATCAGCGCTTTTGTTTCCACAGTTTTTTTCACAGTTCTTATTAATTTGTTTTACAGAATTTTCCGTCTCCATCCTAGGTCAAGCAAATTTTGTACTTAACTTGTTCTTATATAGTTTTAATATTCCAGACAGACAACAATGTTGAAATAACTTAAATAATATTCAAAAAGGAAATGATAATTCATCGAAGGATTCGTAAAGTAAATCTCTAAAATACAGAAAAAAATAAGACAGGCCTCATTTTACCGAATAAAAGATACTTGTAGATATGGGTCGATCGCTTGATGCAGGTACATTACTTGAATTGCACCCATTGATGACGATTACACCTGTAGGGCTACCTTTCTAGACTTTTAAGTGTACAGAAATACTGGGTAATCACATGCTAGGAATGCGTGTTATAACAATAAATAAGGCTTAGTGTAAATAATTATGCTTTATTTAGAATTTTGTACATGAGAATAAACGGTAAAGTTGTCTTTTATTTAGCATGGAACTTGTCATTCTTATATTTAAGTACAAGACTTAATTCTAACACAATTTTGACTTGAGTGACTTCCTTAAAATCAAGAAAAGTGCCTGCTTCGTGTGAGTAGGGGCAAAGACACAAATATATTATATATCTGCTACGTTTGTAGCAGTATTTTCGTTTTCGAATTTCCCATAGAGAAGAGAAAGCATTAATATTTAATAATATTGACCAATTACAGAAATATCTTGGGTATAACATAGTATTGCATAGTTCTTGACCAAAAACACTATATGTGCAAACCAATTAAATTTGACATTGTACAGACTTTAGTAATAACGATGAAAATAATTTTATTGATGTGAAAGGAATATGTGATCACTTAATAAGTGTGATTGTGAGTGCAACTGTTTCTTTATATTAATTACTATTAAAAATAAGAATTTTTTTATTTTTTATTTTTGTTTTGTTGTTTTTGCAAGCAAGTGATCTAGTTTCTAAGTTTTACAATACGACGACTCGCAAAAAATTACCTGGTCAACAGAAAACCTCCTGGATTACTTGGACTGACATATTCTGTCATTTGATATATGTGTTCAGATTTTTTATAACATATATCAGAAGATAATTAAAGCTGTAACCTAAAACAGAACAATAATTGCTTCAAGTAAAGAAGAAATACGATTAAGTAAAACCGTGTAACATAACAGGTTATTGTTAATAATAATAATTAAAATAACTCAGAAGAATATTAAAAACATTTTTATTCATTTATGCTATTATATAAATAATTCAAAAAATATTAAAACTTTTTTTTTTTTAGTTTCATTTATGCTATTATGTACCACTAATTTTCACAAAAGTTGATGAAAATGTGTTCGTTTTCAAAGGAATTGAGAGCAAAACTTCTAAAGTTGAAACCTAATTGTATGGTATTATTTAAACCTGGTAGCCCCCCTCCCCCCCAGTGGCACAGCGGTATATCTGCGGACTTACAACGCTAGAAACCGGATTTCGATACCCGTGGTGGCCAGAGCACAGATAGCCCATTGTGTAGCTTTGTGGTTAACTTCAGACAAACAAAATTAGACAAAGTTTACCTGGTAACAGGGAGAAAAGGAAAACTCGACTCATAACATATTTTGTGAAATATTTTTGTTTCTTCTCCAAGTTTGTCCATTAAAGGCATTGTTTTTTGTTTATTCGTTTCATAGTAAGATATGACTGTGACGATAAAAGCCTTGTTCAAAAGCATTACGAACATACATTATTAAATATAAAATATTTGTACTATAGTATGTAGATATTGACGTTTTGTATTTCTGTATAAAGTATCATTTGGATTGATTAAAATATAATGGAACTGCATTTCAAAATATGTGTTTTTTTATGTTGGAACTATGTACAGTTAAAATCTGAACGGAAGCCTAAATACGTAAAAAATATAAATTAGTCTAAGAATATTGAAGAAAGGTATATGCCCTATAAGTTTCAAGACGATCGGCCCGAAATAAAGAAATGGCGCATCAATGTACGTGCTGAAAAGAAAAGAAGAAAGAAACATAGGAAGTACAAAATGTCTGCCTGCTTATGGGAGAGACATAATGAACTATTATTAGGACTAATTTCAAAGGTAATTAATATGTTTGTATTCACCATTCATTTTCGAAATTATGCTATTTCATCAACGAAATGTAATGTTAATCTTAGTGTTACAACGTAGTAGATTTGTTTGCTTTTATAATTTTGCTGTAATAAAATAAATTTACTTTATATTATGCAATAGCATTATTAGGTTTCATTTCACATAAATTCACTTGTGTTATGACAGCGGAAGTCACGTGACCCTGGTAACACGTCATGAGTTCCTAGAAGGATCGGGGAACATCACGAATATCCTAGTATTTGTTAGACGCCCTCTATTTTTGTTTATAAGCCCGGCAAATAAAGCGGAGATGGTAGAAGTGACGGCATAGATAATCTCAGATAAGGAGATATAGAGACAGATAATCGAGTCAAGTGAGCAGTAGTGACCGTAAGTAAAGTGCGTGAATCATTGTGAATTATAGCGTGTGTTTAAGTGAAAGTAACTGTGAAAATTAAGTGAATTGCAAAGTTGTATTGAGAAAGAATAAACTAGTTTTATTTAAGAAAGAACTTGTATCGCTGAAGTTCTTCAGAAAGAATTTTTACCGGAAATTATCCAACAAGCAGATACGCAACACTTACATATTGTGATTACCGAAATAGTACGTCAACCATTGTTTTGAGGGATATCACTAGGCCTATCTTCAAATCACTATGTGTATATTGTTGTTACAGAATAAAAAACACGTTTCACGCTATGTAAAATTATTGTGAGAAGTAATTTAAGATTAAATCCATATGTTTAATGCTACATATACTGCTTTTTATGGTAGACCAATTATATTTAAGTAAAGCTACTCTTATGCTTAGTATAAAGTGTAAGCTAGGTATGAAAGCTGATTCCAAAAGTATTAGACGGCCGACTTCGTTATTACTAATACTGGGACTGGATTACATTATTTTAATGAAAGACAATCGACCCCAACATTAGGCTTGCTTTAAATAGAATTGATAAAACAGCTCAAAAGTTTAATTTTGAATATTGTGACTCATGGTATTCTGGTATTTCCTTCCTGAAACGCTTTTGCTTACCAGCCTATGTGCATGTGTTTGATATATGGGTTGTAAACAACATAATAGCAATTCTTGTATTGTTTCTATTTTAGTTTACATCTTAATAGATGTTGTATTTATAATACAGAATCTCCAGCTTATCTTGGTGAACAAATGTTTATTTTAAGACTAAATGACATTTCTGGTACAGAATCGAGTTTTTTCAGAAATCTCAAGAAGATTGATCATGTAGCAGAAACGTGGGTTACAGTATGAATTTGTTCTGAGATCCTCAATTGCTATATAAACTCATCCATAGCCTTTTGCGAGTAAATAAAACAGAACTGTACATTGAATTATAAAAATATTTTTTTTTATACATAGTATCGTCTTGTTAGCTCGAACAAGGTATGGCACGCAAGTAATGTGTTGGAGTTGAACACCACCACAGTATTAACTACAAATTGGAACATCGCTCAGGTCTTTTCCATCGTTCCTAGTAAAACCACTCTCAAGTGTAATAGTAGTAATACAGATCAATTGATCGACTTTGGGGATTCAACTCTGGCGAGAAACATGTATTATCATGCAGCAAAAATAGATCCAATAAACTTTGTAAGTGCTGTATATTTTTTTTTCACTCTTTTTGAACAAAATTATTGTGCTGTAACAATGTTTCACCTACTAAAATATATTCTGCCATGAGAACTGGAAATAACCAATGACATCAAAGTCTTTAAGAAAGTATTCACCACCTCTAACCTGAAAAAATACTTTGGCAGTAACACACATGCGTATATCAAAAGTGAGAAAAGCGACAAAATTCTATCTTGTTATATCCTTCTCGTAAATTACAGTTATTAAGCATGATGTTTTAAGTAATATTACCACCTTTTTTGTTGTTGTTATTATTATTGGAATGTAGTATTGTTTATTTCATTTTGTTAAGGCAATTTTGTTTGGGAACTTGTTTTATTTAAAAAATACTATTCCTTATAATAGCTTTAAATTCAGTCTATCACAGACCAGCATGGTGGTTAGGGCGCTTGACTCGCAATCTGAGGGTTGCGGGTTTTAATCCCCGTCCCACCAAACATGCTCGCACTTTCAGCTGTGGTGGCATTATAATGTGACGGTCAATCCCATTATTCGTTGGTAAAAGAGTAGCCCAAGAGTTGGCGGTGATAACTAGCTGCCTTCCCTCTAGCCTTTCACTGCTAAATTAGGGACGGCTAGCGCAGATAGTCCTCGTGCAGCTTTGCGCGAAATTCAAAACAAACCAAACGTATTTCACTTCAACTGCCACTATATTATTACTATTCACCCACTAACAGTTAGTTTTGAGTTTTTACGAGGCACGAGGAAAAAGCCCGAGCAATGTTCAGATTGTGTTAGTTACGTGATTGTATATTGCTAACAGTTTAATAAGTATTTAACATATATATATCATAAAAGCTTATTTTTAATGTAACGTTATTCACATGTTTCCATAAAATGAGAGGTTCAAACTGTGCCCATGTACAGTACTTATAATAAAATTTACAAATATTAACAGACAGGATATTCGACTGATGATTTAATTAATTTTACCCAGGAAGTTTATAACCAGTCCTGATTATATTTTGCTAAAAATGAATTTATGGTCACAATCTATTAGTGTTTTAGACACGTAAATTTACATTTCCATATTTTTTGTATGTAGCTACTGATAAATCATGATTTGATACATTTTCATTTCCGTGCTGTGATAGTATTTATTTTTACTTGAGTTAATAAGTTAATTGTTTATAATCATATATTTTTGCCAATCGCCGATATGAAAACGAAGCAGCGTGTCGTTATTACGAATAATCTCATAAATTAGCTTGGTGTTCTAGGCAAGCTACAAAGAACATGGGATTATATTATATAGTTTAAATACCATTATTACCCTCATCCTCGGAGGGAGGAGAGGGTACTACAGTCGGGTTCATGTATATGTGTGTCTGTCTGTCTGCATTTCCGCGCGTGCATCTCGAAAACTAATAGACCAATGTACACGAAATGTGCGGGACAGTCATCCCCAAATTTGGTTCAGATCCTTATTATGGATCACTTTGAAGCATTTTTTATAATGGGAAGATAGGGCATTTTCGCGACTTTGGGTTAATAACTCTGTAAAGTGTGATTTATTTGTACCACATTTCATTCTCTCATTGAGGTTGAGACTTCTCATCACACTACAAAAAATTATCCGGATCGTTGATCATGCTGGATCTGAAAAAGTTTTTCTGAGTTTTCTAAGGTGAAATTTGACGTTGTCTAATATAAAAGCATGTAATCTCTCTGATTGCTCTGTTTTGAAAGAAATGCTTTTATTTTTCAAACATCAGTCGAAATAGTAGAAAACAAAAGTTGTCAATAATTTTAATATGTTAACCATTCTCTGAAGGATATTATTAGAGCTATCTTTAAATCCAAGCAACATGTATGTTGCTATTACAGAATTAACACTACATGTTTTGTTTTAAATATTATATAAGACAAATGTTAGAATTAACTTAAGATTAAATCCACATTTTTAACATTACATACATTGCATTTATGAACAGAGAGAGAAGATCCAGATGCAATAAACGTCACAACTTTTAAATATTTATTTGTACTGATATAAACAAAACTACTTTTCTACTTATCAAGGCTTAATTGTGGTATTCATCTTAGCAACATATTTATTCAATTAACCACCTCCGCGCACACTTCAAGTTAGCAATTAACACCATGTTTTGTTAAATTTTAGTTGAGACTCAAATTTGACGTCAGAACATGGTAAACTGTGTGTGTGTATATATATATATATATATATATATATATATATATATATACTACAGTAGTAGTAGTTAATTTAAAACGTTCTTACTTACTTACTTTTAT